CTCTCTGGGTGTTTCAGGCTTTGCCTCGGCATCCCAAAGGCTTTCCCCGTGCAGGGTTAGGAGGCAAAGACTGGTCTCAGTTTCTTGGTGCTGCATTAACGCTTTTTGCTCCTTTTCTGTCCAGTCGTGCCCTCCCTGGGGCTCAGCTCAGGTCCGTGCCCAGCGGCTGGTGGAGTGTGGCGAGTTGTGCTTCCTGCCGGGCGGGAGCTGCCTTGGGAAGCTGCTCTGTCCCCACGGCTGGGCCGAGCTGGGAACTTGGACAGGGAAGGGCAGGGCCCGTCCTGCCCGTGAGAATTGGGTTTGGCTGGGGGAGGATGGAATGGAGTGTGTGCCTGTTAACTCCAAGGAGAGCCAACAGCTGGGAGAGACCCCGAGCAGGTTTGGTGCCACGAGAGCAGCTTCAAAAGACCTTGAGTGTTGGAGAAATGTCCAGGAGACCTGGTTCCTCTTTTGCAAGGAGGCAGTTTGCAAGGACAGGGGGGTTGCTGTGCTCTCTAGCAAAAAAAGGTTTCCTTGCTCTCTCAGCAGGATGTCGAGTGCCACCGTGTCCCTGAGGTCACCCTTTCTGCTGTTGGGAGAGCACGAGGCGGATGGAGAGGATCCCCAGGCATCTGCAGGAACAAGGGACTTGTATGACTCCAACTTGCCTACTGCAGCTGTAGGATGGACTTGCAAGATACCACTGGGAATGTGCCAGCACTCCTGCTGGAGTTTAATTATGCTGTATTTGAACACAATGAGTAAAACTACAGTCGGGTCTGTTCTAGAGTGTGTTACACTTGTCCTTCCCTCTGTTTTTTTTCTGTTTTGGAAAGCACGGTCTGGGGTTCCTGGGCACTTCTTATTAAATGATACTATGAAAATAATTTTGTACTGAAAGGGGAAAGGAGTTGTCTGTGAAAGTTCAGATGTCAATGATAAAACCCTTATGTGTTTTTAGTCAGTAAGCTCTTAAAATACCTTAGTGTGTAGGAATGCCTGGCTTCTAAAACTCACCAGCTGAGTCTTAGAGGCTCCTTTGAAGAGCTGATTTCAGGCAGCAGAATTGCCCCCCAGGAGGGACTCTGTGCCTGCTCTCCCGTGGCTCCAAGGGATCTCTGGCCCTTCACGCCGGCACCGAGATTTTCTCGGGAAGGGCCTCAGATCTCCGGACCAGTCTGGGACACAGGCAAGATCCCCCTGCAGTTTAGGACCAAATTGGCCCCCTGGAGGGACAGTGCTGTTGGTGCCCCCCGGGTTGGGGCACCCCGAGGACTCCAGCGCGCACCGAAAGGATTATTCGGGGAGATCCTCGGGGTGCCCGGCCCTGGGGAGCTCAAAGCAAGGTCCCTGCCATGGATTCAGGCATTGCTGAGAGTATCCCAGGGGTCCCTGTCCCTGCTAGACATGGAGCTCTCTAATGGGCTGTAATTGGGTGATAAAAGTGGTGCTCCAAGTGCCAAAGAAGTGTGGGATTGGGATTAAGAAATGAGCAGTGAGGGTCCAATTGGCTGTTTTCTCTGGAATGTGACTGTAAGAGCTGCAGGAGTGCCAGGTGTGTGTTCCAGTCCCCAGCATTTGGTTTGCACATGTCCTGCTCAGACACAGGTCCAACTTGCTCAGTCCTTAACCCAAGAGAGGGAGAATTATGGACTGGCAGTGTTAAGGTGATTGGTGTGACAGGGGTCAAACTGGGAAAACATTGGGGAATTCCTCAGTTGGTCTGTTTGCCAAACTCACCCAAACCTGTGCTAGGAAGAGATGGACTGGGGTCTCTGATCTCCTGGGCAGTTGTTTTGCATGATCTGGCAGCCTCTGGGATTAGACTGGCCTGGGCAGACAGGGAGCAGTTTGTCCTGTGGAGCTGGGCTGGGTTTGTTGAGGATGCCTTGGGAGGCAGGGCTGGAGAGGCTCCTCTGTTGGCTGTAGTGGTGGAAGGTTGTAGCAGCAGGGCTGGAGCCTTCGCCCTCCTGCTCCCCCCGTGAGCCCCGACGGGCCCGTGCCCTTGGCAATGGAGGGCCCCCATTGCTGAGTCAGCGGTTCCGGGGGCCAGGAGGGATGGGATCAGGATGCCGAGCTCCACCCAGGGCCAGGGCTGCCAGTGTAGTAACCCTGGAAAGAACTGAAAGCAGAGTGAGATGGAGGCAAAGCTCCAGCAGAAGGATGGGTGAGAAAAGACCCTGGTCCTCAGGTGGAGCTTTGAATTCATTGGAAAAATAGATCCTGTCAAATGGTTCAGGCCCTCGTGGGTGCTGGAGCAGAGGCCTCTTTAATTTATGGTCACCCTAAAAAGGTGCAAGGACAGCAAGTTTTGATTACAGGATGAGGTGGGAAACAAAGTGGTACAGAGAAAAGTTGAGCTTAAAACTGGTCCTGTGCCAGAGCAGCCTTGTGGAACAGGAGGGGGCTGTGGGTGAGAGATTTCTCCTTAAACACAGTTCTGTCTCTGGGGCACTCAGGATGTGATGCCTTGCTCATTTTCTTTTGTGTCTCCCCTACATCCGTATCCCATGTGTTGGATTGGGTTTGTTTAAACTGTTCCTGTTATTCCATGACTGGTGAGGAGTTGTTTCCTTGAGTGCCCTGCCTGTCAGCAAAACACCAGGTCTGTGCAGCACTTGAGAGGGGGCAGGTTTGGGGGCTGTGGTGTTCCAGCTCCCTTTGGCATCCCTTGCTGAGGGGTGGGAGCTGCCCAGAGCCAGCAGCATCCAGCTGGAGGATCCAGGAGGATGCAGCTCATGTTTTCTGAGAGGTAAGAGGTGGGGGTGCAGGAGCTGGCAGGGGTGTCTTCCAGGCAGAGGGAGGGAAGGAGCAGGGAGAACTGCAGCCAGTTGTGAGAGTCTGTTCTTTTCCTGTCAGCTTATGTGAAAACAAGCCCTGAGGAACAAGAACTTCATCCTTGAAGCGAGCATCTCCTATAAACTGAAATTAATTGGTACCTCACTATTGGTTGATGGCCCTCTGAGGGCATTTGAAGAAGGAAGTGAAGAGGAGGAGGATGAAGTAAGTCCCCAGACTCCTTTAGGAAAGACCCCCCGAGGTGCAGGCACAGGGACATTCCAGGGTACCCCCGTGTGTGCAAAGGGGCACCCCTGACATAACGGGGGAGGGACCTAAGGCCTCTGGCTGGGCTGTGCTGGCCACACCTGCCCAGGTAGATGTCACCCATGGATTGGATAAAGAGCAGATGGCTCGTGCTGGGAGTGGAACTGAGGTTTCACATGGAAGGCCCACGTTGCCTTTCGCGGGGACGCCCACGATCCTGTGAGCCTGCCCACACTCCCAGGGTGCAGCTTCTGCTCTGGGGAATTCCAGGCAGGCTGGGGGCAGTGAGACAGCCTTGTAAGCAACACCTGAGTGAGTGGAGGGTCATACTGAGGGCTTGTTTCCCTCCCCTTTCCCCTCTCTCAGGTTCTTGTTTTGTTGGCCACCTCTTGGTAATAAATATTGTTCTTGTTGAGCTTTCAATGGTGTGTGGTTTCAGTCTCAGCATCCTCCCTGCTACAGGGGGAGAGGCAGAAAATCCCCCTGCTGCTGGGGCTGAACTGTCTGCAGTGAGCAGGCAGGACTTGGCCCTGATGCCTGAGTGCTCTCCAGCCCCCCAGGATCGATCCCAACTGTCAGCCCCTGGCTCCATCCCTTGAGAAGATGGTGTTCCTGCAAGCCCAGCTGCTGTGCTGGTGGTCCTGTGGGCACCTCCTGCCCTGGCCTGCCATGACTGTGTTTGTGTTGCAGCTCAATAAAGTCCCTTTCAGTGGTGATTGTGTCATTTTGGTGTCAGTTCCTCTCCCCTCTTCCCCTGCCCCTGTGGCTGCATCACTGGCTTGTGCCTAACTGAACTCTTCCCCTGCAGCAGTTGTCTGCAGGGAATAAGTGCCAAGAGCTGCTCCTGTCTCCCTGTGTTCCCTGCAGTATGTGTTTGTACAAATGAGCTGATTACATAGGGATAGGTAGGGAGAATTTTGGGAGTAAAATCTGGGCCCTGTGTAGCAGAGAGAATGAATACCTTGGGGTGAAGTGAGGCAGTCAGTGGTGGGCAGGTAGGAAAAATTTCTGTGTGTAAAATTTGAGGTCATGTAGAACAGAGAGAATGTACATCCTGAGGTAAACTGGGGTAATCAGTTGTGGACATATGGGGAAAATTTTAGGGGTAAAACTTGAGGTAATGTCCAGGGGAGAGAATGAATACTTTGAGTTAACATCGTTCCAAAGCCCCAAAGTTTTATCTCCAGGGGAGAAAAAGAACCTCATGAGGTCAACTGAGGTAATCAGTGGTGGCCAGGTGGGGATATTTAGGGCAGAAACATTTGAGGTAATCTCCAGGGAAAATTTTGAGGGTCAAACTAGAGCAAATTTGCAGGGCAGAGAATGAATATTTGGAGGTCAAAAAGAAGTAATCAGTAGTGTGCAGGTAGGGTAAAAGTCTGAGGTAATCTTTGGTGGAGAGAATGAATACTTTGTTTTCAAAAAGAAGTAATCAGCAGTGGGCTGGAAGGGGAAATTCTGGGGGTAAAAAAGGAGGTTCATTCTCTCCAGGGCAGGGAATGAACACACTGAGGTAACCTGAGGTACTGAGTGGTGACAGACACAGAAAACTGTGGGTGTTAAACTTCAGGGAATGTGCTGGGAAGAGAAGGAATCTGTTTCCAGGCTCCATCCCACTGCAAAAAGGATTAGTTCTTGTTACATCTTAACACTCACATATCATTCCCCCTTTTTTCCTGACACTTGGCCATTAGGCCAGTGTCTCATTATTTAAAGGATAGTTTGACTCCTCAGTGACAACAACTGACAGCCCTGAATCCTAACACAGACTGAGACACAAACATGGATGGGAACTCTTAAGGATCCACTTTGTGCTGCTCACCAATCAAAAGGAGCTTTCTGAACTCAAGAAGAATAGACCCAACATTCTTTTTCTGCAACTTTAACTGCTATCAGTGTGATCAAAGAGACCTGGAAAGGCCCTTTCCACTTCACCTGCAGGGCTGGCAGTGCCACCACTGGACACGGCCCCAGTCGCTGGGCAGGAACGGAGGGGCTGGGGCGTCCAATCCATCGGCCCAGGCGGCACCAGGAGTTCCTGCAGTTCCTGAGGGGAGAGCCTCAAGCCAACAAAGGATTAGGAAGAATATTTTAAACTTCAATGTGTCTATCTCCTGGAATATGGGGACTTTGATAAGTCCTACTGGTGCAACAAGGACACACTCAAGGCTATCTATTAAAAGGATCTACCAGCACTCAAAAGCTATCACTGTCCTTCTGTCAGGGGGAACGCAGCAAACTCTCTTTGCCAGGAGCCTCCAGGAGCATTTCCAGCTTTTGGGGCTCCCTTTTAACCATTTTTCCCATAACTGGAGCTGGGACTATCACCTGCCCTACAGGGGGAACAGCCCACAAAGTTCACCATCAGGGATGCCATTAACTCAAAGTCCCTTCTCAGGGGGGTCACTGCACACCTTGGCCTTTGTTTGCCCTCCCCACCAAAGATGCTTCCAACAGTTCTGACACATCTGGCAGACCCAGAGCTCTCCTCAGGGAATGCTTCAGCTGCTTAAAGGCTGCCCTTGCACCATCTATTCAAAAAGTCGCCATAACAGTCTTACCACACATCCCGAGGGAGCAATGCAGAGTCCAGCCCGTCCCACCATTCCCAGCAAGGCAGTTCATGGGCTGTCTGGGGCTCAGGGAGGAGTCAGGGGGCTTCTCTTCTTCCTGCCCGCTTGCCCCATTTTCTCCTGCAAAAGCAAAGCTTTCTTGGCTTTCCTTGCTCAAGGAGATGCAGCAAAGGCCATCTTTTCAATCCAATACTGGAAACTGCTCCAGGTTGTCACTTACAGGGGTTCTCTCAGGTCCTGCACTAATCAATCATCTTGTCCACTGGTTTTCTTGGCAGGTTCTGGCATTCACGTCCTACAAGCAAACCAGGAGAAGCCAATTTAGCTGTTCCTGCAACCAATCCAAGCTGGCAACCAATCCAAGCTGGCATTCTGATTTTAAAGGATACTGGCTTGGCCTTACCAGGAGAGATTCCACATTAGGGGTAATACCTACAGGTTCTACCCTCTTCCACTCTCCTGGAAGTCCACTGGCCCACACAACAGGAACAAGTGCAGCTGCCACTTCAGTTGGGACCTTGTTGCTGACAGGAGTTATTCCCTGCACAAGAAGAGCTGCTGCTTGGACACATTTAGTTTCAGCAATTACAGTTTCAATATTGCCATTTCTCAATTTCATTTCTGCCTCAACTTTTCCAATCAATCTCTTCCTAGCACAGGTTTGGGTGAGTTGGGCAAATACAGAAACTGAGGAATTAGCCAATGTTTTTCCAGTTTAACCCCTGTCACACCAATCACCTTAACACTGCCAGTCCTTCATTCTCCCTCTATTGTGTTAAGGACTGAGGAAGTTGGACCTGTGTCTGACCACGACATGTGCAAACCAAATGCTGGGAACTGGAACACACACCTTGCACTCCTGCAGCTCTTACAATGATATTCAAGGGAAAACAGCCAATTGGACCCTCACTGCTCATTTCTTAATCCCAATCCCACACTTCTTTGGCACTTGGAGCACCACTTTTATCACCCAATTACAGTCCAGTAGAGAGCTCCATGTCTAGCAGGGACAGGGACCCCTGGGATACTCTCAGCAATGCCTGAATCCATGGCAGGGACCTTGCTTTGAGCTCCCCAGGGCCGGGCACCCCGAGGATCTCCCCGAATAATCCTTTCGGTGCGCGCTGGAGTCCTCGGGGTGCCCCAACCCGGGGGGCACCAACAGCACTGTCCCTCCAGGGGCCAATTTGGTCCTAAACTGCAGGGGGATCTTGCCTGTGTCCCAGACTGGTCCGGAGATCTGAGGCCCTTCCCGAGAAAATCTCGGTGCCGGCGTGAAGGGCCAGAGATCCCTTGGAGCCACGGGAGAGCAGGCACAGAGTCCCTCCTGGGGGGCAATTCTGCTGCCTGAAAACAGCTCTTCAAAGGAGTCTCTAAGACTCAGCTGGTGACTTTTAGAAGCCAGGCATTCCTGCACACTCTGAGATATTTTAAGAGCTTACTGAGCGAAAAAACACAAAGCTTTTCCAGGGACATCTGACCTCCCACAGACAGCTCCTTTCCCCTTTCAGTACAAA